GGCGACGCGTGTTAGGCGTCGGCATATCCTTTCTTAGGATTCAGGATGAAATTCCCCATGCGTGTAAGGCATGGATTTTGGTGTTATTAATAACAACCTGCCACAATGTTGAATATGTGGACGGATGTTCTTTTCAACGGTTAAGAACTAACCGGCAGCGCGGGTTAGGCACAGACTTATCCTTGCTTAGGTTTCAGGATAGAATACCCCAGAATCGAACTCTGGTGTCTTTTTGTGCGGAAAAAGACTAAACCGGCAGCGCGTGTTAGGCGCAGACTTATCCCTGCTTAGGATTCGGGATAAACTTCCTAGTACCTGTGAGGCACAAATTTTGGGATTTGAAAAAGGTGGTGTCTTTTCTTGGGGCAAAGACGAACCCGAAATGGGAGAGGAAGAATTTTATATTCTATCTCCCGACACTGAAGAAGAAGAATTTTATATTCTATCTTCAGTTGGAAAGGAGACTCGAGGTGGGATCTCCACCCCCAGAATCCGGAAAGGTGAAACTAAGAGTGGGATCCCCACTCCGAGAATCGAAAAGATTCAGATAACCCTAACTGTCGGAAGGTTTGATTACCGAACTAAAGATGAATTTCTCATTTATCGAGAGTGAATTGTGGTTTTGGTCCTAACTGTAGGAAGGTTTGACCAAGCAGGAGTTTGAGATGACCCTAACTGTAGGAAGGTTTGATCACTCGATTTGAAAGTGGACCTCTCGTTCATTGGAGGAATCGAGAGGGGATTTTGACTGTGGTCCTAACTGTAAGAAGGTTTGACCAAGTGGGTGTTTTGAGACAATCCTAACTGTAGGAAGGTTTGATCGCTCAATTTGTGGACCTCTCGTTCATTGGGGGAATCGAGAGGGGATTTTGACTGTGGTCCTAACTGTAAGAAGGTTTGACCAAGTGGGTGTTTTGAGACAATCCTAACTGTAGGAAGGTTTGATCGCTCAATTTGTGGACCTCTCGTTCATTGGGGGAATCGAGAGGGGATTTTGACTGTGGTCCTAACTGTAAGAAGGTTTGTGAGAGATTTAGTATTCATCACTTTGTTCATATTGATCAGGTTATCCCTAAGAATATTAATATTCTTTTGGGAACTTCCCGTTACACGAATTATCCACCCCCAGCTTTCTTGCAAAACTGAGTGTGACATTATTCTCAGTTACATGAACGGGTTATCCTTAAGAACATAAAAATTCTCCAGGAACTTCCCGTGAAAGAAATGAAACAGTTTAGACTCATATACATGTTAGAGTATTAGGGAGCAGTTTAACCTCTTATACCGGTCGGAGGATTGAGAAACAGTTTATACTCGTACTCTTTGGCCGGCTTCGACCAAGGTCTGAATGCTATTCCTGAGAGCAAAGCAATCCTTGGGGGGATGAACAACCCTTCTGTGGTATGCACAGTACTTTGGATCCGTCGTGTTGTCAGCTTCCTCCTGATTTGTGAGAGGTGGTAGCTTGATCTTGTTACTTTCAAGGAGGGATTCGAAGATGGCTGGAACGTCTTCGTCCTTGAAAGAGTACTCTTTTTGGAGTCTCGGACCCAAAATCTTTTGCTGCCTTCGGGATTGCTGTTGTGACGTTTGATTAGCACCATCAGCAGCTGCATGTGCCTTACCTTTCCCCCTTGGGTTGAAATTCTGTGCTGGAGCATTTGTCGCCTGTTGGCCTCTCTCCGCCTTCTTTCTTCTGAGGAATCGCTCGGCTTGCTCTCCTCGGACCTTCAGATCCTTCCATGTCTTGGACGGTGCTATCCCCATTGCTTCCAACACGTCCAGTGCGAGGTTGTTGTGGCAAGTCTGGAGGATGAATTCCTCGGTGATCGGGTCCCGACAGTTCATCACCTTGTTCCGGAACCTCTTGACGAAGGTGTCAACCAATTCCCCGTCTTTCTGTTTCTCATCCAGCAACGACCCAATGGATATCTCTGTGTCGTCGTCGAAGAAGTTGGAGAGGAATTTGGTCTCCATGTCGTCCCAGCTATTTACGCTACCTGGCTTGAGGCGGCGATACCAATCGAAGGCGGCTCCGCGAAGAGTGCCAACGAATGACCGCACCATCAGAGGCTCATTGCCGGAGATTACCCCCAAGTGCGATTTGAAATAAATCAAATGTTGAGTGGGGGAACCCATCCCATTAAACGGCGTGAAGTTAATTAGGTTGAACTTCGCCGGATATGGGATTGATTCCCACTCTCTTGGGTATGGGCAAGGAATGCCTGTTTTCTTCATCTCTTGAGCAGAAATCAATGTATTGATTTTTGCTCTCGAGATTTTTAGTTTTTAGATTTTTATCTGTGTTTTCACTAGCATTCTCGTTACCACCCCCTGCATTGACGGGAGGATTATTGGTATTATGAGTCTCATTCGTATCCTCGTCTTCCAGATTAACCGGGTTACGACGTCTTGGCTCGCCTTGCTGGTTCGTCAATGCTTGGATTTGTTGGTCATGCATTTCTCTCATGTTTTGCATGGCCATCTGCATTTCGAACCTAAAGGTTTCCTGTTGCTTAGCTAAGGCGTCTTCAAGCATTTTGGCCACTTGCTCCGCCCTTATCATAAGTGCCTCGCGGGGTTGTCCCTCCCTGGATACTGTATTGTCTGATGCAACCGCAGAGCCAGCATCAGATTCTTCATCTTCTGAAGGGAGTATTGTTCGAACCCTACCATAGGTCGTTCGCTTGATAGTTCCGGACTGCAGACGGGTTCTAGGCCGGGATGCTTTCAGAATCGATTCGAGATTGTCTCGCGCCGACGTCCCTCTGCTGGTCATGTTGGTGGTGACCCTCGGAAATTCTCCCTCTTCAACCACCGTTCTTCTTCGTCGAAAACACCTAGGCCTTGTTTTCGGCGTTTCAGTACTGAGCCTCTCGAAAACTGAAACTCGTTCGGGGACCGCCTTGATGCAGCTGCATTCAGACAATACTGTTCGAATGAGTTTGGAACAGGGGCACTGAGTTTCCTGTTCTCGGGGACTCCTTTTCCTGGTTTTATTCGTACCCCCAGCACGATAGTACAACTCGTCTGCTTGACGATCGGAGTAACCTATCGTGTGTTGGCACGACTTCTCATGTATAACATTATCGTCATCAGACGATAATGTTTCCTTCTGAGGGGGAACTGCCCTCTTTGGGCTTTCAAAAGTCACGCGCCTCGATACATGCCTTTTTGGGCGTGAGTTCTCGGCGGGCTCCTGGACTTCGATGCGCAAGTTGGTGCGCGTAGCTGTCCTGGTCTCTTTGTCATGTTGGAGGTGACGGCGACCCCCAGCATGTTGCGTCGTCCGGGGCTTCTTCATCGGGCCCAAACGATCTTGAACAGGAGCTTTGCCTCTCTCGTCGGGAATCGGATCGAGGCGCTCCAAGACTGGCTTCTTCCTTTGGGACGATTCCGCATGATCTCCCGGAGAAGCTATTGGAATTACCGGTGACTTTGATTGATTCACCGGAGGTTGAACTTTGGTTGGAGGCTGCTTCGGCCTCCACACTTGGCGGGTTGATGGCGGCTTCTTGGCCACTCTTCCTTTCTTCAACTCCTCGTCCTTCTGCACGAGGATTCTTGCTTGTGCAAGTAATGCGCGGCGTTTGTGAATCCGCTCTTCGAGTGTCGAACGGTTCCGTTTGACCCGGATCCATTCGTTCGTCGGCGGCTTGGAGGACCCGCCATTCTTCAATTGTTAAGGCTGTTTGCCTCTCCTATTCTTCAGATCCACGTTGTAGCGGACCCCGTCCGTGGACTCCATCGCTTTGGCGAATTGCCGCGCAAGGCGTTGACGTCGCCTCTGGCGGGCTCTCTTCGAGAGAGTCACAACGCCTTCAACAGTAGAAGCGTTGACGAGAACAGGTTTGACCTCGTTGGAGGTCGGTGGAACTTCACCCGATGCGACTTTGGCATCAGTTGGGGTGAGAGCGTCGTTGGCATTC